AAAAATTTCCCAGGGTTCTCTTTCTATGCAGGCCAAAATGAGCTCCCTTTGATACTTTGTAATCACAGCCTAACAATTTCTTGTGCACACTAGGAAACAAACAATGTATTCAAGAACATATACCAATCCTTTGGGTCTCTCTCTGGAGCATCGTTGGCTGACATTAAACTCATTTGCTACAAGCTCATACTGCTGGTCATCCAATACTTTATACATCATCCAACAACCTACAGATTGAATCCAATTACCAATTGACAAATAAGAAATAGTAAAAGAAAAAAGTCTAGTAGTTTGGTAGGAAGGAAATAATTAACTTTAAATTATGCAAAGAAGGGTCATTCTTCTTTTTGTTGTTTTCATCTGCCATTTGGTTCAAAGGTTGGTATATATGGTTGGACCCCAACAGGGAACATCCTACTTAATTACAGTTCCATGTTTATCCTACTTATGCCCTCTACCCAAGGACATCTACAATCAGCACAACCTGATAGTTTATGGTGAAAATATATAAGCCTATTAAACGATTATTTTTGGAGCAAGTTCAGCTTTCCTATAAGACAAATGGACCTGATCCATTGCTACCTTAAAGTTGGCATAGGCTGTGGATCTTTAATGAAACACAATCAAGGGATCATCTCTGGAATATATTCTAATATCAAATCCATGCAAGGGAAAGGTAAACCAAAGGTCAATACAACATGTGGACAACAAAAGGCCTTCCAATCATATTGTACTTCGCCTATAACCAAATATATGCAAGAGGGAATAGCATGCCTATGCTTTAGAATAGCATTCCTGTTTCCACGTCTAACATCCTTTAATGGTCAGTTCCTGCCTACATGTAAGAGGATAATAGTTTGCTTTATCCTGTGGAATAGCATTTTTTTTCCCCAAATTTAACATTTTCACTTATTCATTTGTGCTCAGTTTCCTGTTATTTCAATACATTGCATATATATGGCATAAGCAGATACGAAATGTTTATTTGGTTTACAATACCTTTTGCACATTTGGTTCTTCCCACTTCGACAAACGAGTACCGTCAAATGCAGATTTGACCTGAAGTTCCCAACATATAAAATGTGAAAAGAAGTTCATCGTATACAAGAGCACGTAAGATTTGCATTATAATTCCAAATATAGATTTAATAGAATGAAGTGCCAGAAGCTACTTACAATCCCAAAAGGAAGCTCCTCTCCGCTAGCTAGTACTAAACCAGAACATATTCTGTTTAGCTTCAAAAGCGGCCAAGAGAGGGAGTATTTATCCAGTTTGTTGCATATATTGATATTGTGAATTACATCATCCAGAGCGTGAAACATAACAGGTAATGCATGGAGGTTTTAACAGATCAGCAGCCATAAAAAATGTCAATCCTTCCTTTATCATTCAACTCACTCTTCAAGGAAAGAGCATCAAGCAATTGATCAAAAGAAGGAAGCTCTGATGGAAATCAGATTGTGCACCATGTGAAACAGCATTCACAGAGATTCGCCTGGTTCTAAAAGGGAATTCTTGAGGTCAACCAAACTACACCTGAAATCTGGAGCACTTCAACAGCCCTATGTTTAGAGAAAGACCTCTCCACAAACAGAGAAATAACTGATAAAATGCGTTATAGATCTTTGTCACATGCTCATCTATACATTTACGAACTGGACAAGAGGAACTACTTAAAGAGCAATGCTCATCTTGACCAAATTCGGACCTTGATATCCGCCATTCTTTGTCACCACTTTGTCTTCCAGGTATGAGACTGAAATATCATCCTGTGAAAGAAAATTTTCTCTCAAGTTCTTCTTCTTCATTCCTGTCACGTTTCTCCAGTTCAGCAACAAGTTGAGATGTAAATTTCTGACGGCATTCTCTTCTTAGTTTGGAAAGAGTGGAGGATAGAATGGGCTCTGGTGCAATATTCCGCCGAGACAGAACCTAAAGTGTGGTAGGTGTTAGGTGGAACATGCTGTCAATACATATCATCTTGCATAATATTTTTACCATTCACATGAAAGCAAAATGAGAAAAATATTCATGTCCACGAGTTGAAAGTCTTACCTGGCCAATTTCTTGTGTAACGTTTAGTGACGTCAAACACTCCATCCTTGCAATAGCAATTATGTAATCCAATTTCTTTTTCCAGCTTCAATGAAAAAAATTTTTCAAAAAATACAGATGAAATTTTAAAAATTATTCCACAATTGAAGCATCCGGACAATAGCAAAAAGCCAAACTATGTCGATTACCCTTTCTCATACATAATGGATTGTCATATATTCCTTCACAGGGATCAAGATGCATCCATCTGTATTTTATCCTCAAAATAAGACTCAATGACATGTGGAAACATGCAAAAGCCACTGGTGGGTAAATAAAGTTTACCTTCCCAGCATAGGTGAGAAGCACTCTGTCCAAACATGGTCAGTGAAATCCAATTTCTGAAACAATGAGAAATGGCAACAAATAAAATTTCCTCCACCTCAAGTTCTGTGTTATTATAAATCCCCCTTATCATTTACTGACATGGTGCAGAGAAATTCAGTTAGTTGCTTGCATGCTTGTGAAAAGTCTAGAAACTGTCCATTGAATTTGATGGCTTTGCAGAAAATTGTTTCAAAGAATCGCACACAGTAACCAAACAGACTGGCAGGAGTAAACAAACTTGACAGGCAGCAATAATTAAAAAAAGAAGATAATGTAAGATAACGTAAGTGAAAACTTACACCTCACTGACTTCTTACACATGACAGTTGAGCACAGCATTGGTCAGCTAGCTTCATATGCATATTTTTTGCCAGAAAAGAAAAAGCTATTGTGCATCACTTCAAACATACACTAAAATAGCTCATCTAGGATCATTTTAGATGAACAATTAGAGATTTGTAATTTCATGTATCAACTATCTGTTGGCGTCTTGAGCTCCATTTTTTTCAACCTAATTATTGAAATATTTATTTAACTGCTCAGCAACAAGATTTTGTCCTAATGATATTTAGTAATCTATCCAAATATTCCCAGCTTAGGTCTAATTTTTATCATCAACCACTCAGCCAGGTTAAAGTTATAACAGGGAATGAAAATTGTGAAGCCCATCACTATGGAGGGGTACACAATGAAAGAAAATCCAGATTTCCTAGTATTTCTGATAAAAGACTACATTACCAGCCATAAAATTCAACACACTCTTGAGAGGAATTATAGCCAAAAGATTAAAATTTTTATACTCAAGATATAATAGCACTGAAGGAGGTCTTAGTAGCAAATCCTGCAATAAGAATCATATTCAAGTGAGGGCTTACTAAACGAGATTCATAGCCAAAGGCTCGGCAATACAATGTAAAGCAATTGGCCCACTCCCCACAGCGCCCCTCCTTGTTTCAAGAAGCTGCATAGAACTTTAAGTGAAAAAATAATCAAATAAAAACTTCTCACCAAAGAGACAGAAACTATTACCTTTAAGGATCATTGTACCGTGGGAAACGAGTGATTTTTGAGCAAGCATTGCAGCTGTGGTAATCAAAGAATTAAGCACAACAATGTTACAAAAGAGATAAGCAAGCATTACATGAAAATGCATTATTAGCTAGTGCATTCTGAAGAACAAGCATTTATGAGCCAGTTAATATATGTTCTGGATGCATAAAAGATAAAAAATAACAAGAAGACAGATTGTCAACATTCTTCATGAGTTTCAATTATACACAAAAGTAGCAAAAGTTGTTTCAGGTGCAACAAATAGCAGCTGCAAACCTTATCTACTATCATATTTCAGGTCTATGAGTTAAGAAAATAAAACATGACTACTTCAAGTTATGTGAGGAAGAGAGAGAGCTCAATATGCACAAGGTTATGGCTGTCTTAAAAAGGCACCACTAAGATTACGAATTGAACTGTGAAAAGGAGTCTGCAGCTAAAGCAGCAGTTTCATGATGAAAGGACTTTAATGAACCCATGAACCAACTTAAACCTAATCCACTACTTCTTAACTTTGCAGAAGGCATTCTAGGGATGTCAGCCTCCAGCTGGAGAATCTGGCTTCAAACCAGACACTAGAAACCCTATTTTTGGCGTTTGGTTCAAGGGGAGAGAAGCTCTATTTCCTATTGGAGAAGCCAGCTTTTCCTGAAGCTGATTTTTGAAGCCTTCAGATGTGTTATGGGATTTTAATTTGGACTTCAGTGCATTAATTTGTTGATATCAGAAAAAACACCCCTCAATGTTATCTAGTTGAATATAATGCCATCATATTTCACTATTGTCTTATGCATCGGATAAATATTATCCAGTCAATGCTGCATACCTTCATCAAAAAGGATATAAACACCATATCAAGTTCTATATCAGCACAAGTACAGTATTTGCAGAAGGCCTCCAAGGAACCCCACAGAGATATTCAATGAAGCATGGCATGTAGGTTTGGAGTGTGAAAATCAAAATGGGCATTCTAGATCACATGCTTTCATACTCATTTGACAGTCAAGTTCAATTGGTTGCTGTATCAATGACATTACATAACTTCAGCCCATCATAATATTATGAACCCTGTATTCTCGACAATGTTGAATGACAATAACTTCAGCTCAAGGAAGATGATGATCCTGAACCAGAGGAAGACCACCCAAGATAACATGATGATGATAATATGCATGTGGTATGGGATGGGAAAACAAGAAAATAGGGGTTAATTAATGAAGGATTCCAGTAATTTTATATATTTTCAATGTAAATAATCAATGCAATGTCTGATCTTTTTGTGTTATTATCAATTTCTTCTTACATATGCAAGTGAAGTTGCTTTATTTGGTGGGGCAATTTCGAATTTAGAAATGAAACTTGAAAAGGCCAAAAGAGTTTACATCTATTATTAGCAGTAGATTATTTTGAGTTTTGTTATTTAAAAATTAACGTTTCAAAAGCCAACAATGTGTATATGGGAAGAATAAGTGTAAAACACTTATACCAAATCTTACACCATTAATTTAGTGAAAATTCAATGGATGAGATTAATTATAGTTATCTTTCAAAATGTTAATTACAACTGTCTTCCAAGAACACTACTTACAGCTATCTTCCAAAACATTAATTACAACTATAATTAATCTGATTCATTGGATTTTGACTAATCAAAGGTGCAAGATTCATTGGACTTTAACTAAATAAAATGTGCAAGATTTCAAGTAAGTGCTTTACATTTACAATAGTGTCAATTTATCCATTTTTATCTATCTTCCAAACATTAATTATACCTATAATTAATCTCATCAATTGGATTCTGACCAAATCAATTGTGCAAGATTTGGTACAAGTGTTTTACACTTACACTAGTGTCAATTGATCTCCTCTCTTTTCTCTCTCTCTCTCTCTTATATATATATATATATATATATATGTATGTATGTATGTATGTATGTATGTACATTTGCACATATAAACATATACATATATACATGTTATTATTTAAAATTAATGTTTCAATATGAAATACAAAAGCCAGCAGTTGAATCCCAACATGTGTGTGTGTGTGCGCGTGTGTGTGTTTAGCAATAGGGTGCACAACTTCTTCAATTGGATGGTCAAATGTTGCTATTAGCTTGTAAAATGAATTGGCTGGTCAAAAACATTGCTGCTGGTCAACAAACCAAAATGTTGAATGTACATAGCATTGCAAAGAGCCGTTGGTGGTGAGAAGCTGATAGTGGATTAGCATAGTAGCTCTCATATACATATGTGTTATAGGCATCTTGGAACCAAACTCCAAATATTAAAAAGTCAGTTTTTTGTTAAACAAACCAAACTCTAAAAAAAGGCAGCTTTTGCATGATAGCATAGAAAAGCTTGAAGCCCTTCCTGAGGAAGCCATATTTTAGTTCAGATGCATGACTTACAGAATGTTAGAACTCGAGCTCCAGATATCTATCCTGGGGACAAAGTTCACATGTAAGGGAACAAAGATGAAAGCCAATATCATTTTTGTATTTGTATTATGTTCTCAATTAAATAATCCATGAAGATTCCTTTAGTAGGTTGTAAATGAGGGAAGTTCAATTTCATATATTTTTAATTTTCTATTTCAGGAAGCAGATCCATCCTTGGTCTATATTTATGATGGATCCTATATTTTGCATGTGAAGAGATGCAGGGTTCATGTAAGTTATAACAGATAAACCCCAGGAATATAGCTGCTGACAGTGCATATTTACATCAGGTCCTTTTGAAAGATATAGTTAAAAAATTATCTATTGGGGATCCACAAAAATTCAAAATGAACCTATATTGATGACACAGAATTTGACAACACATCTTTTTCCACCCCAAACTTCTGCTTGTAAAACTGATCTTCTGTTTAATGTACAAGATAGCATCATAAAAATAATTAACAAAATTAAAGTGAGCATTACACTGACCAGGGCTTTCTTTCATGGTTAATCCATTTTATTGGTGGTCCAACTGGTCAAATTTGTGTTACAAATCTTCATACCATGTATTTAGCAATAGCTATTTGTTTATATATAATATATATAATATATATATAGTATAAAACAATGTGAGATAACAACTGCTTGTGTGAATCAGCTGGAGGATAAATTTTCCTGGTCCTCGAACAAGCCCGAAGCTCCAAGGAGGCAATTTGCCATACATTTTTGCAAATATTACTCCAAGCAAGCAAGCCAGCCCTTCCACTAGCCAGGTTTTTGGTCAGGCGCTGCAGTATATGGAACCAAACTGCTAGACCCTCTGGTACCTAATTCAGCCTGCTATCCATTCTGGTTTTAATAACACTGATCATATATATAACAAGCAGAAAGATGAGAGATGCTTCCTCTTCTCCCACTCTGAATTTGAAAAGCTCCTCCTCAAAGTTAAGGAACCAAAATAAGGATACGACAACTCAAGATGTGCATGTGCTATTGGAGGATTAATACACTCAAGCTGAATATTAAATTTTTTGGTGAATGTGTCTGACTCTTGTTAGGGGTGTGCCTTAATCTATATTCTACTCTTCCCTATTACTTTCTTGTTTTACTCCATCACATGGTGAGCTACACAATCTCTAGTTTTATCTGTAAACCGTGAAATCTCCAATCATTCATGCAAGCAAGTTTATCACTACTGAAGTAATTTCAGATTAAAATATTCAATATTTCTTTCAATAGGACCATAGATATGGCAGATATCATAGAAATATTGGCCCAATATGATTTTCTCATTTAGTAACTTTCACATTTTTCTTCACTAGAAGTTCTCCTAGGCATACTTCATCACATTTATGCCTTTCTGATGTAATATACAAGACTACGTCTCATGAGCCCACAAACCTCTCTCTGGGCAAGCCCATAATTATAGGATCACTGGATATCTGAAACAAGAATTTATGATAAAGAAATGGAATAAAATAAAATCTGTGGAAAGACCACAGGTATAGATTTGCTAAACCTTCAAAATTAGGATAAAAAACGACTCGTTAGGTATTAATGGATCATCTAGTCATACCGATATAGCTCCACTTGTGATGCCCCATAGTCAGATTCAGAGCGAAGCGGAATGCCCATTCCGTTATTTATTGTTTCACTGCCACAATCATCGCAAGGAGGTGCATTTACCCACCTGTAACATCAGGACATAAACAAACACTTATTAGCAATAGCAAGATTCTAAAACTACTAGCTTGGTTGTGATTAGTCCTTGGACAATAGATCATTTCTAATAATCATTTTGGACGCAAAATAATGCAGTTAAAATGAAATCCATGAAGTGACAAACATCCATTATACAACTAATGCTAATTAACCCAATTACAATAACATCATAAAGGAATGACACAATAGCAACAAACAATCCCCACATAGCCAATACAGAAAAAAAGTGAACTAAAAACTGAAAGGGTCTTTATGATGACCAGCCAAAATATTGCTGTAATAGCACAAAATGATCAAACATAATCCTATTTGAATAATTTAAAATCAAGAGGCTTCTTTAAGCCTGAAACTTGAAGAAACAGCCCAATAAATATGCGCATGAAAGCAGCACACTCAGATAATCCGTGCTTTGCACACTGAGATGACTGTAAGCACGTGTTAGACTAATGCCAAAACTTTTTATTCGTTTTTCAATATTTTATTTTTTTAAGCCAAAATAACTAAATCCTACTCAAAGTAAGAACCTATCCAAGCCAAGTGCCCCACCCCCCCCCCCCCAAAAAAAAAAAAAAACCCGGGCTGAGTTTTAGGATCCAAATTGTTCCTTTTGGAAATGTCTCATATCCACTTCCAAGAAATCAAGATAATAGTGTCAAGAATGAGTTTATGTTCCAGGTTGGATTCATCAAGGCAGTCGTCATCAGTGTCCTGCTGTGAGAAAAGTTTAATTCAATAATCCATTCATTCTATGAGAAGAAACGAGAGGACAACTCAAATGTGCAGAGTACTTGGTCTCATCATGGCAATCAACCCTATTGAGCACCCTACAACACTGCAACATAATAATGTAAGGACAGATCTCCACAATATTATATATCTGTTTTAAAATCCTAAAGAAAAATAGGCACCTGAATGATTGTTTGAACAAAAAAGCAGCTGCAGGAGGAAAGCATGGTCTTGCTCACTTTGTGTTGGTTTAAAATTTCCCTCCTGAAGCATAAGAAGAAAAAATTAGACATGTACTTTTCTTCTAATAAGTTTGTACAATTTGTTTTAGAAACAACAACATATATAGATCCGAAACAGAAACTCAATTAATGCTTTCTGCCTGAACAATCATTATCATCAATGGTAGAGAGTGCATAAGTACACACACACAAGATTAAATTTCTCTTTAAGCAGAAGGAATTTGGTGAAGACACTAGAATATCTTGTAGTGCTGCAGTGGAACTCAAACCAGAACTGACTCTAACCAAAGTGCTTACCTCAGTACTGGTGCATTACAAACTTTCCTTAACCCACCTACTCATTCCAAGGTCTGAGTCTCATTGTATAAATTGATTTTAGTATTTTATTTATAGGTATGTGGAGAAGCTATTGTTCCTTAAAGTAGGATCCTTTTCATTGTTATTTTCTTTAAAATTTCTATTGCAATAATAAATTTCTTTGGTGAATAGATGGAGAACACTACTCAGTTCACTGATGCATGTTCATTTATTTCTTCGTTCACCCCTTCACTGCAGCCTTTCTTTTTTTTTTTTTTGGGGCGCGGGGGGGGGATAACATATAGGCTATGAGGATGGTTATCATATTTATTCATACAGGTTCTTGTTTTCCCTTTTCGTTAAATTTCCACTTCAAAGAATTAACATTTTTCTGTATCTGGCAAATTAATTTTTTTCTACCTTTTTTTCTTTTTCTATTTTAGTACCCCACATCAAATAATCAATGTTTTCTTCTTTATTTACTGAATAGATGGAGGCTATTAGGTTCATGTTATAATGTATGCACATTTTTTCCCCATCTCACTTTTATGGAGTTTCTATTGAGATCAATCCCCACCCCCCCCCACAAAAAAAAAAAAAAAAAAAAGCCATGATAAATTATTTTTCAGAGAAAATGAAATTAAATTAATTTAATGCCTTATTTTAAAACATATCCTTTATTTGTAATTAAGTTGAATGTCAATTATGAATTAGGATTTTATATCTTTTTTTGTCTTACTTGAGGCATTTCAAAATGCCTTTAATAATGGAGATACTTCATGGTTCATGCGGGTTCCTTTTTCTCCACTTCTCCTTACACAGATCTTTCTTTTTCTCAGGATCATATATAGTGTAGGTGTAAGTTACAAGGTTAACTTCTTGGAGTTTTCTTTACATGATAGTAATGGAAAGGCTACTGGATTTACTCGTGCATAATAATTTTTTTCCTCCTAGATTTTTAATTTATAAGTCAAATAATTGATATTTTTCTTTGCTTAATTTGATGAACTGATGGAGAAGGCTATTAGGTTGAATTATACAGACCTTTCTTTTTCCCAGGATAATATAGAGTGTAGGTGTAGGTGACAAGGTTTTCTTTTTCCCAGGAATTATATAGTGTAGGTGTAGGTGACAAGGTTAGCTTTTTGGAATTTTCTTTACATGATAGTATATGGAGAGGCTACCGGATTTACTCGCGCATAATAATTTTTCATCCTAGTTTCTAAATTTATAAGTCAAATAATTGATATTTTTCTTTGCTTAATTTGGTGAACTGATGGAGAAGGCTATTAGGTTGAATTATGCACGTTTATTTTTTTTTCCCCTGAATTCCTTGTATGGTTTTTTTAATACCTTTATTTATATAGTTGATTTCCTTATTAATTTCCTAATTCTACCTAATAATGTAATTGTTTATTAATCAATGGGTGGCACACATAACTTCAACACCTTACTATTAGCCCTTTTATATATTTTCTTTATGATTAGTTATTCACAATAAATTTAATCATTTAGCTAATATTACACAAACAAGGCTATGCTTTAAGGAAAACTAAAAATATATATAATTTTTATGAAAAGCTTATAAGAACTATATTGAGTTTAGTAATTCTTGGACAAAGTTTTTTACATCCAGAGATATTGAATTTTCTTCTTATATGTTTTCTTTGTGCTCGAAAGTCTGAGAGTAATCTCCATCTAAATATTTTTCCCAAACATTGTCTACCATAACATTTGAGAATTTTCCATTATACTTGTTTACTTTCGACATTAAAATGTGTTCTCAAGAATTCTTCATTTTACTTTAAAACACAAAAAAAATATTGCTAAGCTTTCTTGTTTGCGTATTGTAATAAAAATTGCTAAGCTTGAGTTGCGTCCTAGTTCTTAAGGACACATTTAATGGTATTGAACTAAACTGCCCTCTTTTATTTCAGTTACCAGGCTGTCAATGCAATTGATTTTCTCATCAGAAAGTACAGACATGGGGTCCCCAATTACATATGTAGTATATAAAAATATAACATAAACAAGTATAATACTCTATTAAAAAAAATGAAAATGAGCATAAAAGACATTAATTTTCAACCTTGGCCAAAGAAACCAATGCTTTTTCTTCAAGTTTTTCCACAGGCACTGACCTCCGAGCAGACTCCTGGCGGTTTGCATCTTCATACTGCACCATCAGCATGCAAAAGTAACATAATTATATATTGATTTATTTTCCATATTTTGGAGATTTAGAGAGATTGATTTATTTGCCATATTTAGAGATTTAAAGAGATTTGTATAAATCAATGACTAGAGTAAATTTAGGCAGGGATTTTTTCCTCTTTCGTATTGATTGTAATCTTTAAATTCATTGTAAGCATGTAATGGAAAAAATACAATTGTGAATCAAACTTTTTCTCTCTTCTAACATGGTATCAGAGCCTTAAAAAAACCCTAGCTACAGTTACCTACTCCCATCCCTCTTTTTTTGTTGATTGTGACTTTCAATCTCGTCAACTGAAGTCCTTGTTCAAAGGAAGTCGCACTGTTCTCTGGTGCATTTGGTGTGGGTTGTAGCACTGTTCTCTGTGTTTTGTATGGTACATTTTGTTAGATCGGGAGACACCATCTTTAGTTACCCGTGCCGCTGCAGATTTCGGTGCCCCTATTGCATTGTCATTGTCAAACCTCTTCATCAGCTCATCTTTGTTGGTCAACATCTCCGTCAAACTTCTTCATTGGCTTGTCTTCATCAATCAATGCACCTTGATTGTTAGAGGTGGATTCATCTAGTGCATCTCTGTTCTGAACATGCAAGGTTGGATCCTGGGTCAGTTCTGCTTAACAGGGTTTAGGCACTTGCTTGGATCTGTTGAAGCTCTCTGAAACTGATCGGAATGGGCCCCGTAGGAGTGCTTTCGCATATTAGAAGCAGAAACGGGCAAAAATTGGGTCAGCTAATATAAGGCCCTATTTGGCTTAAGCACAGTGCTGGTATCAGTAATTGACCCTTGAATTTCCTACAATTGGTTACATGTGTGGTAAGTGTGGTACCTTCTGTATTCTTATACATGACTACTGAATCAACAGAAATTATGTCCACTTCCATAGACAATCACTCTCTTCAAATTTCTACTGTAAAATTGAATGGAAAAAAAAATTATGAAATGGTCTTATTCTGTCACTGATTTTTTGAAGAGTAAAGAAAAGTATAAATATGTGAAGAGTACTGAGAATACACTATCAAAAACCAACAAGTCTTATAATACTCGGAAAATTGAAAATGCCATAGTTATGACCTGGCTTCTACACCCTATGCAACCTGAAATTAGTGGAGTTTACTTGTTACTGCCTACAGCTAAGGATATTTGGATGGCAATAAATAAAACCTACTCAAAATTAAGTTTCACTTCTCAGGTCTTTCAAAGTAAGAGAGAAATCTTTAAGACGAAGGCAGCTCCACTATTACTCAATATTACAGCAATCTTCGTGGACTCTTCACTGAAGTTGGTATGTATCAAAATGTCAAGATGAAATCCACTGAAGATACATTAAATTGAATACAATAATTGAATGAGAGAGTATTTCAATTTCTTCTATGTTTCAATTCTAAATATAAACAGGTGTATGATCGTGTCCTAAGTAAGGAACCCTTCCATGATCTTGCTGAAAACTTTTACCCTTATTAGAGGAGCAGAAAGCCAAAGGGAACTTCCAGGTGAAAAAGAGATGATTCTAGGAAGCGCATTGTAGAGAACTCTACATTAGTCAGTAATAAGACAGTGCACCATCTGATTCTACTGGAAACAAAAAGAAAAAAAGTGATATGACAATCGATGGTGTGATTATTCCAAGAAAGCTAGACACACTAGAGAAACATGCTGGAAACTACATGGAAAGCCTTCAAATGGAAAGAACTTTAAACATGGGAAAGGGCGTGGATTACAGGCCATGGTACATAGTCATGATACTTCTGAAGCAGAGTCTACCGCATTCAATAAAGAACAAATAGAGCATTGGTATAGTATTTTGTGTCAGTCATCATATGTTCTGAGTTCCTCTCCGGCCTATTGCCCTACATCTAAATTGAATTCTCACTTTAAATAATAGATTTTCAGGTTCACAGTATATAATGTCTTTCACATCTATTCTTTCTATTTACCTATATTCCTTGTCCTGGTCATTCTAATTCGAATTGTAGATAGTTCTTTTGTTCCCATTGCAGGAAAAAAGGTTAATTATTCTCTTAGATACTTTGACCCTACACTCTGTTTTACATGCTCCTCAGTTGTCACACATTCTGCTGTCTGTTAGTAAACTCACCAAGGATTCTCATTGTAATGCTAAATTATCTTCTTCTTGTGAATTTCAAGAAGTAACTTCATGGTAGACAATTGGTAGTGCTTGACAAGTTGGTCAACTCTACTACTTGGACGGTGACATCTCTTGTAATAGACAGGCTCACACTTCTAAGAATGTTTCTTCCTCTAGTAATAAAGATATTATGTTATCGCACTGGGCCTCAATTTTCCTATATTTGAGCAAGTTGTTACATCTTTTTAAAATAAAGACATTTTCACTTTCCACTGTGATATTTGCTACTTTGTAAAACATCAGGCACCAATCTTCACTCTGTAGCCTACAACAATCTCAACCTTTTTTCTATTATGCACAGTGATTTATGGGAACCTGCAAGGACAAAAATTTTTCAAGAGCAACATGTTTCATTAGTTTTATTGATGATCATACATATGTGTGCTGGATTTATTTGTTACACGATAAATCTAAAGTCTCACAAATATTTCAGCAATTCTACAACATGATTGTCAGAAAAAAGATCTAGATTCTTCAAACTAACAATGGTAAAGAATCTGTCAATTTTAGTTTTAGATCACTTCTCTTGGAAAAAGGGGTTATCTATCAAACAACTTGTGTTGATAACCCTCAACAAAATGGAGAGGCCAAAAGAAAAAACAGACATCTTCTAGAAATTGCATGAGCTCTTATATTCACAACTAGAGTTCCAGAGCATTTTTGGGAAGAAGCCATTCTCACTGCAGCTTCTTTGATTAATAGGATGCCTTTCAAAACATGTCAATTCAAATCTCCTCTTAGTGTACTCTTGGAAACTTATCCACTCCTAGGCTATTTAATTTATTTTCCATAGTTTAGAGATTTAGAGAGATTTGCATAAATCAATGATTGGTGTAAATTTAGGTAGGGATTTTGGCCTTCTTTGTATTGATTGTAGTCTTTATATTCATCGTAAGCATGTATTGGAAAAAATAAAATTGTGAGTAAAACTTTTCCTCACTCTCCTAACATTATATATTTTATTAAAAGAACAAGGCTTTATGTTCAAATTAATTGCCATCACTTCCAGAAAGATCTGGAATAGTCCCTCATAATTTCCTTCATCCAACAATAGAAGCATTAAACCACCAAACAATCATCTAATTCAGGTGCATAGCTCACTATGTTTAAGTGCATGAATTTCCCATAGGAAAACAGGCAAAAATGTAACACACAAAAACACACACACACACACACAAAACAACTGGAAGCCAGTTCGATGTTCCTTTTACGTTACTCTACATGTTGAAAACTATAGTAATAAAATAAAGTGACAATGCATTTAGCAAACCATTTCTGCTGACAATATTTCCAAAAATCTCCCATTTCAAAAAGCCTACTTTCAACTGGGCATTTCTTAAGTTTCAAGTCAAGGATAATACTGCTCATTTTTACATTACTTTACACGTTGAAAACTATAGTAATAAAATAAAGTGACAATGCATTTAGCAAACCATTTCTGCTGACAATATTTCCAAAAATCTCCCATTTCAAAAAGCTTACTTTCAACTCGATATTTCTTAAGTTTCAAGTCAAGGATAATACTGTTCATTTTTTCAGGTCGGTTGGATTGTACAAGCGAAAGCTTTACTCTTTTTCTTACACTCAGCAATTCGAAGGAAGAAAGGCAGAGTAGGAGAGATAACTAAAGGAACTAATAGAATCAGAAAGATCCTAATTTCAATTACCATTAGAACTTGACTGATGTAAGGCCGTATCCTCCTCTCAATTTCCTCTTCACGATCAAATTGCTGAAACATAAGCGCGTCTTCTTCCTCCTTACAACAAAAAAATTACAGACTTTCAAGAACTCTTCAAGAAGAGCATCTCGAGAAACTCAAGTCTGATTTAGCGAATAACCTGCAACATCCGAGCCAATTCTTCATCAAATTTTTCCATTTCAGCACCATGACCGCCCAAGTCTTGTTCTTTTTTGACTTGACCGTTAACAGATACCAATCGAAGCCTTTCGGAGATGGAGACGAGATCGGAGTCGTCCAATACAGCACGATCATCGTCACTTCCCAATATCTAAATCGATAAATCAATAATCACAATTAATCGAGTGTACATAATTGAAACGAACACGTATAACACTGATAAATAGAGAATGGCGAACCTTCTGTTCATCGGGAGGTATAGAAGTGAGAGAGAAAAGCTGGAACTTGAAAACCTGGATATGAAGAAGAGGTAAGAGGAAAAGACTTCAGAAACTGCCAGATATATAGCAGGCATAAATGGAAAAGGTGCAGATGGAGAGACAGACTTCAAGGCCGTCGTCTGTGTCATAGTCGACTGCGAAGTCGGAGTCGTCGTGGCGAACGAGAAACTTCCGAGCCACCATTTTTCTCTTTCGTCTGTCCAGTGATGAAGAAGAGACGGGAATGATGCTCCACCTGTAAATCAGATGCCCATGCGTTTCCTCTGCTCCTTGTTATGTACGCCAAAAAAAAAAAAAAATTTCTTTGGCAAATAAAATAATTTTATTTTACCAAGTTTAATCGAATCTTATCCGTACATGACAGCGATAATACGTGATAATTTTCTAAGTAACCTAACGATGACACATTATAAAAATACTATGTAAATATGGCTTTTTGGCCCTTTCTAGAATTTATATGTTTTTTTAATATAAAATAACATGTCAAATTATATTAATCTAATGTAGTGTATTGTCTAAATAATTCTTGTTGCCTTAATTCTAAACTTTATTAAAAATTATTTGCTATTACTGAATCATCTAATTTTTGATTTTCTCTTTTTAAAATATTTTTTACTTGAATTATTTTTAGCTAATTTTCTTTTGAATTAACATGCTTAAGAAAAGTAAAAAAATCATTATAGGAATTTATTGATCAACTAGAAACTACAAATTAAAATAACATAAAGAAAAGGATGACTAATACACAAGAATATAGTATAAAAATGTATTACAAAAGTTTAAAGAAGAAAAATCCAGCACCTACACATTAACCACTAAAGACCTCCAAAAGGAAATAAAAGAAATTAAAAAGAAAATAAAAATCTTGAAGGAAGAAAACTCTTTAATAAAGACTATTATTTAATGTAAAACCTCACCATGAGAAAATAGAAGAAGAAAAAATTCACAATAATGAAATAAAACAAAGACCAAGAAAAGAGATAGTAGAAGAAGGAGGAGGAGGGTAAAATTATTTAGATTTGATAAGTAGATTAAGATATAAAAATGGATAATTAGGATTAGGCTTAGAAATGATAATAATTTTATAATAGATGAATTAGTTTTAGTAGACTCAACTGCAGATATCAACTGCATCTAAAAGAAATAATTCCAACACAATATTATGAAAAAATAAAAGAAAATCTTTGTACTACATCAGGAGAAAAAAAAATATATGCTAACACAATGGCCCAAAAGGGAAAATTTAGAACATTTGCCTTTGAAAAGAATAAATGTTCAAGTAAAAAATTATTCAGTCTTTGTAGCCTTTTTTAGGACTAAAAGACAAGAATTAAAAGATATCCAAACAAGTTTAGAAGATATTAAAAAGGTATATGAATAAAACAATTACTCTAATTTAATGCTTTATAATATAGAAAAACACGTAAAATGTTTAGTAAGACAAGAAGGTAAATGGCAATCACGATTAGAAAAAACTACAACAAACCAGAATTGTCAAAACCCTTACTTAAACCTATCAATTTAGCAAGAGAAGAATTTAAACTACCTTCTACATTAGATCCACAACTCTTAGAAAATATTAAAGAAAAACTTAAAAAATTAGAAATATCTAAATTAAGTGTAATTAAGGAAGAATCTGAGAAATCTGGAAGTGAAAATGAGATAGAAAATTTAGAAGAATAATTTTTGAATAAAATAAAATAAAAAATACTTATAAAAGATTTGGAAACACAAAAAAATATTATCCTAGATCTTCCTTTCCAAATATGCAATACAAAGAAGATCATACTAGAAATTGAACACAATTTTACGGTGATACTATAATAATGTGGAATATAGATGGATTAAGTGTAATACCCCTAATTTAGGGGTATTTATATAATTCTTTTAACTATAGGCCAAAATTTAACAAATCAAAAACAGTACAGGTTAAATCGAAATGAATCTGGAAGTCCAGGGACTGATTTGCAAGAAAACAAATATTTTCCAGATTCGGATCCATCGGATTGTCCGTGGATTTGGAAACCAAGAATCCGAGCAAATCGTTTGAGATTTGCTCAAATTTTGTATAAAAATCAAAGCGAGGGCAGTGGCAAAGCAAAACCACTCAACCAATTTCTACTAATTTCTCCCAAAAACTCAGAAATCTTTGAGTTTTCAGATTTGGTGGACAAACCAGGTTGTTCGAAGATCAGGATCAAATCTAGTAGCGGCCGACCGATCTACTCAACTGGCCACCGTCGCCCAGCAATTCCGACGAACACCAACCAATTTGATTTCCAGGAAAAACTTTAGGTAAGTTGTTTTATCCTTCCTTTTGATTTACAATTTCTATCAGGTTAAAAAGAAAGACCCGGAAAGGTTCCGGGTCTGGCAGTGGGTTTGGGCTCTGTTTTTGGGTTAGGCTTATTGGGTGGGCCTGTGAGCTTCTAGGCCACAAACGGGCCGCCTTGTTCTCCATGGACTGCTGGGTTCCATTGGGTTGGGTATCAGCCGAAGCCCAGGTCCAGAATATATATATATAAAAAAGATAGAGGAATAAATGGAAATTTGACTGGTTCACCTAAGTGTAAACCAGTTTTCCACCGATTCAAGGGTAGGAAAAATTAATAATTAAATAATTTAATTGTTTATAGTTCAATTCATTATTTTTGTACAAAATTTAAGCCCAATTCAGTGATTTTTTTTAAATTAAAATATAGAACCAGCCGATTCAACAGAAACCAGGCTGGTTCACATAATTTTTGGCCAGTTCAATATTCTAGAGGCCGGTTCAGTGCTCTCTTGGGCCGGTTCAGTACTTTTAAATTAGTTCTAAGTAGGTTTAATATTTTGGAAATTAAAGTATTATTGGTTTTGATGGAAATAAGTCCGGTTCATGGCCAGTTCACTCTCTTAAATGATTATAGTAAGGGGCTCGAGCACAAAAAAAAAACCTAGAAATTTGTTTACTTTTGAATTTAAATTGTTATTATTAGAAATATCAATTTAGCTATACTATTATTTCCTGATTCTAGATTGATCGCACGATTTTGGTTGAGCTGTGTCGTCGAGTGTTGAATTTCTCGGTTTCGTCGTTCTATGAGTAATAATGTGTATTTATGAGCCGTTCTGCTTTTCATATTTAATTTAAATCTATTTTTTTATTATTATTACCTGATTTTCTGCAAATCTGATTAAATTTTTGTTAAATTATATGACAAGGGACATGCATGTAATTTCTGAATTTGTTTTGGAAACTTATCTGTCATTTATATCTGACTCAGTTTTATATCAGTGCATATAATTATTCAGTTAATTGTTCTGTTAAATCTGGAAAATATTTATTTTGAGGGAGTTTCAGATTTTGAATACTGCAGCTGACGGTAGTATACGTTAGCATGATTTGCATTCTGTACGAGTCCCATCTAGTAGGGGTGACAGTGCTAGACATTTCAAGGCATATGTTGTCATTCTGTTATTCAGGGCATATATTGCCATTCAGTTATCAGGGCATGTGTTGCCATTTCAGTTTTCAAGGCATATATTGTCATTCTGTTATTCAGGGCATATGTTGCTATTCAGTTATCAAGGCATATGTTGCCATTTTGGTTACCTGGGCATTTTTTGCCATTTTCAGCTGACTGTGTGTCGCTGCTTTGATTATCAGCTGACTGTGTGTCGCTGCCTTGGTTATCGGCTGACTGTGTGTCGCCGTTCAGTTTCCTGATATATGTTATGTTCAGAATTACGAACTCCCTAAATGATGGAAAGTGTTTGAAAAATAAATATGTTGTAGAAAATTACTGTTATAACTGTATACATGTCCTTTGATCTTGTAAATGCAGATTATTATTCACTGGGTCGATAGACTCACCCTTATTTTTTTTCAGATTCTGAGTACGCTGATCTAGTGGATCCTACTTGCTGAGAGGAGTCTGTGGCATCAGCTATTTTGTTTAGATTTTTCTGTTCAGAGTTGGTTATTCAGTTTTATCAGACTTTGTATTCCTGGGATTTTAGTATGCTCCATTTGACTACAGACAGGATTCTACTTTGTGTTTGATATTTCAATTAGCGCGGTTTGAATTTTATTTGAGTTATATCAAACTTTCTGTTTTTTAGTTAGATTTAGTGTTTCTGTTAGGCTTGCATGGGTTGGGATTTATTCTGATTCTTGCACCGGTCACGTATCCGATTTTGGATCGTGACATTAAGTGATCACTAAATTGTAGGAGTTTGTTCAAAAATGATGACTTATTCAATAGCGGTGAAAGTGAAAATAATTGACAAAGAATAACATATGGTAAAAGCTATAGTCTATGGTTTTAATGGATTGCTTAAAATTAGTGGGATAATTATCTTACTAAGGAAAATAGAAATTTCATACTAATTAAAACTAACATTAAACAAGAAATCATAGTAGAAGGAACATCAATTGAATATGATACCGTAAATACTTTGATCTATGCAAGTCTTAAACATTTTGTAGGACACCTTGAAATTTTTCAAAAAAAAATCTCAGAAATATTGTCTAATTTAACTTGTCCTTCCTTGCAAGACTTTTAGATGATATAAAGATGAAGATGATTGTAATTCAACATATTGGAAAGGAAGATTTGTAGCAAGATTACTTAGATTATTTGTTGAAAATGTTAGGCAGAGACGTATAACAATATACAATGGTAATATTCCATATTAGCAATTAACTTATGGCCAAATTACGGCTGTAGTAAATGCTAAAGGTTTAGCACTATATACAAATATGAAATTAAAGGCAAAAATAAAATCAATAGAAAGGAATTAGAAGACTTTTGTGAACAACATGGATACAAGAAAATAATAGCACATTCTAGAAAGACTAAGAGAAGAAATTTTAAGAGATATATAGAAAATGTTATAAAAAGAAATTTGAGGAAGATAATAGGAAAAGAAGACATAAAAAGAAATATTCAGAATATTCAAAGAAAAAAGTCAAAAGAAATGTCAAATGTTATAAAAGCGGTAGGTATAGACATTATAGTGATGATAAGTGTAAAATAGAAAAGAAAATTAAGGCATTAACCCTAGGTAATGATATAAAAGACAAAATAATAAAAACCTTAATAGATACAAATGAATTTAGTAATGAAAAAACTAGCTTAGATTTAGATATTTTTGAAATAATCAGCCCATCATTGTAACATCCTAAACCCAAATCCTTA